AAGCCTACCTTTCCCTCAAATATACTGACTGACTGACTGACTGACTGACTGAGAACTGTGCATGTTAGGGTACTTCACATCTGTTGTTGTGAAACAATATTTGGGAGTCTCACCAACCTTGCTATCCACGGAAAAATCAAAAGGCTCCTCGCTGTTGACTAAAATCGAAAGGAACTAGATGCTTCATGATCCTGCTCGATTTCGTCTTCAAGGGAAGACATATTTGACAAACTCCCTCTGCCCATTCGGGGGGATTTTGTTAGATTGATGGGCCATCCAATTACTAGCATAACATCAAAGGAATTTTGCGCATTTTTACCATAGTTCATATTTAACTGAGAAAACTAACGAATTCAGAGTAGTTCGGAGTTATTGCGGCGAAAAATGGGTATAATCTTCAGTCCCTTTCCTATTCTCGAAGAAATGTAATTGTAAAAATTTCTGTCCTGTCTCATTAAGTACTCAAAATACCTGTCATGTTTACCTGACACTAACCTTACTGAATTTTACTCCACATGCTTTAGCGCAATTAAACAGTATCCATCTGTGCATTCTCATCGAGAACATTTGCTTGGTTCGTCGTGTCCCGTTTAGTAAAACGAAAGCGAGGTGTGGTTAATCGGATTCCAGAGACATGTAAGAAAATACTAAAAGTAGATATGTTGTAGGCTAAACATGATTTCTACGTCCTCTTGATATAACTGCGAATAGTTGGTTTCCACAGGGGACATCATCCATGATGTATAGGCAATTGAAATCTATCGACTAAAACAAATTGATGCACGCGAATCGAACCCATGACGCATACCATGTCAATATGACGGCCTTTTGAAGACGTAATGAGTCAGGACAGATGAGAAGTTAAGAGGTTTTTTGCCCGTTTAAAATGATTTGTTCGTTTTCCAACAGTTGCAACGACGATTAATTTCAAGTTGGTGATAAAGGCGCTGGATATGTTGAGCTAATTGATTCAAAAAAACAAGTTACAACGTGGCAGCAAACTTCTATGGTGTCATTGCTTTCTTCATTTTATGCTTATAATTATTACAAGCCATGACGCAATGTAAAATCAATCGTAAATAAGATGACAGAGTGTAATGAACCAGACTGAACAGTGTGTGTTTTATTGGCTAACATCCCACGTAGCTTGATTTTTCAGGAGCTCACGCGTGGACCTCGCCTCTACACCCTCCATCGATAAGTCCTGTCTCATTTCCATTTTTCGAATCATTAGAACGTTTGCCGGTATTTTTATATATCCATACCGAACTCTTTACCATCCTCTCGCTTTTCGTATCAGATTTTACCCTCTTATGATACCGGACCCAATATCTCGTCTACCAGTTAATTCCTTTCGTCTATTTTGCCCGTTCGCTCACCTACTCCTAATTCCGTAAATTTACCATCGATTACGCTTACTTTTGTATCGATC